CGCCGGCCGTGCCGTGCCGTGCCGCACCGCCGCACCGCCCGCCCCATCGCCGCCCGCCTCACCGCCGCCGCCAGCGGCCGCGCTGTCCCCGCGGTCCCCGCGCACGCCCCCGCCCCCGCCGGGCCTCGCAGGGCCGCGCAGGTGGCACCTGGCCCTGTTGCCGCCGCGGGATTCTGAGCCGCACCGCCGCTCTCGTGCACGTGTGTGGCATGTGCGGGCCGGACAGCTCGCCTCGCGTCCCCGGGCCTCCGGCACCGCCGTCCACGCTGGGCCCCGCGCTGCTCCGTGGCCGCCCGGACACAGCAGAGCGTGACACTGGAGAGCGATATGGGTAAGAAACCCCACACACCTTAACGCCACCCTTCCCGCGCTGCAACGCTGCGGGCTGTGCCTGGAGAGAATTACTTCTCTGTTCGTGCCCAGTCTCCCGTGCTCTCACCCCTTGCTTCTTCCTCTTTCCATTCTCAATGGCTAGCTCTCTCCCCATGCCTTCCCACATCACACACACAGCAGCCCCATCACCCTGTGGCTCTCAGGGCACGCGCTGTCCAGTTTGCCCAGTGCCAGCCGGGTTCCCCATGCTCAGCCCACTGGTGAACAGCCACCAGCCCTGGTCCAGCAATGAGGAGCAATTACCAGCCCCCCCCTCAATAACAAATGTCCCTGGGGGTGCACAGCCATGGCTGGCTCAGGAGTCCCAGCTGGGACCTGAGGAGCCAAGGGAAGCTGAGCACATGGATTTTAGGGCACTCATACCCCGAGGGTGCACCATTTGCCTGTCTCTCTCTGGCACTGATGCACTTCAATATGCAGTGCCTGCCCCGGGGCTGCCCTGGGATTTGGATCTGTAATTGCAAAATGACAGCCCAAGAGCAGCCCAGTTCCTACCTCACTCTTTCGCCAGAACCACCAGCCCCAGAGGCACCCAATGTCCCCAGTGTGGCACAGCATCCTGCTCCTGCTTCTGACCCTGCTCTGGGCCACTGTCACCTCTGTGGGGACAAAAGCCTCCCATACAGTGACAGTGGCGACCCTGCAGCATGGCCCAGAATGAGGGCCACTGGGAACCCTGCTCTGTGCTCGAGGTGCTGCTGCAGGGTGTCCGCTGTGGGGCAGCCCAGCCGCAGACCATCTCCCATTGCTAATGCAATCTACCAGGGCAGAGGGCTCCTAAAGATGCAGCATGGGAAGTGTACCAGGGACATGCAGTGGTCCCAGGGTCGGTCTCCCAGCTCAGGGCCGCAGCTTGTGCTGCTGCTGCTTCCCTTCACACACGGATACTGGGTCAGGCTGAAGGGACCCGGTGCCTGGGGAGTGCTCACCACGCTGGCAGCTTGGCATGCTTCCTGCCTGCAAGCTCAAGATTGAAGTGTGGTCCCAGAACGTTGTGTGCTGAGGGATATAGGAGCCTTGGTCTGGGCTATGAAGATGCAAGAGCTGAGGCTGCCTGGCCTCACAAGGAGCTGCACACCACCACTGCCACAACAGGAGCTGGGAGTCACAGCCCGCAGAGCCCATTCCCAGCACAGACCCCAGCCTGGCAACAGGTACCCCCACAACTCCTTCCATGCTCCTGTAATGCTGCTGCTGCAGCAGGAGGCATCCTGTGAGCAGTGAGTTACGCACTGTCCTTTCGGTTTCTCTGGAGCCATCTTGGTCCTATGCCTTGACAGAGGAACAGGAAGCTGAGTCTGTCTCCAGCAAGCAACCATCCATGGCTAGAAACTGCCACCCTCGGCTGCTTGGTGCCACTCGGGCACCACCCGTTTTATGCACAAACCTTGCCTGGCCTCTGTGCCACTGTGCCCCTGTCCTCAGTGTCCCAAAAAAGAAGAAGCCCAGCCCAGAGATCAGCTCTTCTCCCCCAGAATGCCCCCAGGATGATCCTAATACTACACAGCAGATGCAATGTCCCACCCTCCTCTCTTGACTACAGGTGCCAGAGGTGACACAAAGCACAGATCGACACATGCTCACCCCAAGCTAAGCCTATCAGGATAACACAGGCTGCAGCCAGAAGTACCATAGGTTGGTTGGACAACCAAGAGAAAGCCAAGCTGTTCTTTCCTTCCAACACTTTCCAGGACCCACTGGGGAAGCCTGGAAGGGTTCAGGACCCTCTGGCGTTGCACAAGATGTCATTGGGCAAGAGGAGATCTTGTGGGAAAACAGTGCAAGCGGGAAGCTCAGCACTGCTGTGGCCAACACACCAAATTCCCCAAAAGCCATCAGCTCCACGTTGGGCCACAAGGACGGATGTGGCATTCTGGACTGGACCTGATCATGCTCCAGGTGAACACACCCCAGAAAAGGGAAAAGCTGCTGCCTGCCAACTGGCTGAACCCTAAGTTCCTCAGCCCAAGACCTTTCTGGGAGAGGGAAGAGTACAAGAAAGGCAGTGTGTCAGCCTGGACATGGTCTCACATATATCCAGGTTGGAAGAGGTCAGGCTGAGCATCCTGGACCACTTCCCTGCTCCCCAGCAGCACTGGTTAGGCTGTGGCTACAAAACATGCAGCACAGGATTAGAGTTGATGCTGAACCATGGTGGTCCAGGTGGGAAGTAAGCAATTTTGGTCACTCACCTCATGTTGGAGGCCAAGGGAGTACCAAAGCTGTCCTCTGAGCAGCAAGGGCTGTGCCGAGCACCCTTCCTTCGCCTCCCCTTCTCCTCCTCCCTCTCAGTCCAGGGGGCATCGGTGGCTGAACTGGTCCCAGAGTCCGGCTCCAAGTGAGCCAGAGGAGCAAAGTTCTCCTCGATCAGCTTCACACTGTCTCGTATCTGTCCCTGTACTTCTGGGGTGAGTGTTGGGAGATCAAAAGTGAAAAAGGTCCCATGAGTGTGGGCTGGGGAGGAGAGGATGTCAATGGAGTCCAGGCTGGTGTAAGATGTGCCTTTGGCTCGATGGGACTCCATGATGCTCTCAAAATGCTTGCTGAAAGAGTCCATGCCATCCTTGGAGAGGCTGTGCCCTAGCAGGAAGGGCACTGGAGACTTGAGCATACCCTCTGTGTCTCGATCCATGATCCTAGAGGGAAAGAAAGCAAGAGGAACTGGTCACTGAGGAGCAAGAGGTCGAAGCCCCAAACAAAAGCCTGTGCACTGCTCCAGAAGGAAAGCAGGGAGGGCAGAAGACTCCTCTGAATATCTGAGTACACCAGGCCTCTAAAAGAAACGCCTTGCCTATCCAGGACATCACAGAAAGAGGGTCGTGCTGGCCTCCCTCCAGCCATATGCCTCTCTTTTAATGCGCCATGGACTTTTGTTCCCTTAGTGGCTCATCCTCCTAAGAAGCTTATGAGATGGCTACTGCTCCCAGCCACTTGGCTTGAGTTTAGATCCAATAAACAGCTCAGGCACCAAAAACTGGATGTAGTTCAGCTCCACTGCCAAACAAATCCACAAGTGCCTGAATTTTCCATGAGCCTTCAGAGCTCCTGGCACCCACAGCTCTCCTGGAGCCACCGAGGACAGCCTGACACCTTCTGCATATGTGACACCATGGTCACTGAGCCGAGCCCACCTGCAAGGTCAGCACAAGCAGCAGCTCCCCACACTTGTTTTGAAGGAGGAGGAAAGAGCAGGATGGCCTGATGGTAGTGAGAGCACCTGTAAGGGACTGAGCTGCCTTCAGACGGGTTCACCTCCTCCCTGCCGAAGCACTGTGCTCTCTGAGCTCTGGCAAACCTCTGGGCACAGATCACCCTGCAGGAGGCTCAGCTGGTCTGCGGCACGGCTCTGTGTCCAGCCCAACACGGGACATCCTGCATCTCAAACCCCTGAGCATTTCATCCTGGAGATGAGCCTGCCCATCAGTCTGAGCATGTGACACAGGGATATTTCCAATACAGTGTCAACCCTTCAGTCCTGTAAGCACAAACGCAACCCTAAAAGCCTGTTTCACTCACAAGCTGCTATCACTTTATTAGAGCACTAAAAATGCACTTGTTATGCCACTCTCTTTCCTGATTAAAAGCGAAGAGCTGATCCAGCTTGTCATAACATTTGTTATGAACAAACAGCTTCATGCAGAAGGCTCAGAAAATGTAGTGCTGTTACAAGCACTGAGTGATTTATCATTTATTAGCCTGCTCTGAAATCTCACGGATTATTGCAGCAGGCTCCAAGCTGGCAGCCTCACTGCACCAGAACATGGAGGGCTTCAGGGGGCACCCAGCGAGATGGGTAAGTAGGGGACACATCCCAGAGACCAATAACCATGCTGCGTTACATGCTGACAACTCAGCCAGCACTTCTGGTTACCACATGGGGCTGAACAACCGGACGTCGGCAGAGGGGAAGGGGCTCCTGTGTCCCCCAGCACATCGGCGTCCGCATGCCGGTGTCCCATCTGGGAAGGCTGCCCTGGCGGCAGACCCGAGGGCTGTGCTGGGCAGCGCTCTGCTCCCAGGGAGGACAGGCGCTCCTGCCTGCAGCCAGCCCTCGCACACCGGGCAGCGGGGCACGGTGCTGCACAGCCGGCTCTGGCTCACTCAGCAGCGCTGCCTCTGGCTTAGTGCTCCCCCGGGGGCTCTCGAGAAGGGGGAGAGGAGCCCGCTCTCGCTGGCAGGTCTCGGTGCTCTGGGACTAATGGGAATAAAGACAGCAAAGGCTTAGACTGGTCATTAGCCGTAGAGCCGGCTCTAAATATATTTCAGGGAGTGGATTCTGGAAGAAGACACTGTTTCTTATGTCACTTTCCACATCTTGTTTGATTTTGTATTGGATTTTTCGTCCTGATGTTCTGCTGCACGTTCTCTTATTTTAGGAGAAGAGATGACAAGGAAGGTGCCCTTTGGCAAGAATATAAAGGGCAACAAAGTAGTGCCGAGCCAGTCTCCTCATGCAGAGGGTGCTAAATCCCTAAGGCTAGATTTTCAAAGGGATTTACTTGTCTAAATGCTGCAAATCAGCATCCGATGGTGTCTCAATAATTTTGCATAGCTGCTCCTTCCCATCTACCAAGGAAGTGCTGTGCAGCAAAGGACTGGCTGGGATGGAAGCCTCTGGTTTGTAACAGCTCCTGCGGAGCAAAGCAGCGCCAGCTCTTGGAAGATGGGGCAGCTTTTAATGACCCCAGCATCACCGCATCGCCCCTCCTGTGAGCAGACAAAGCAGAAAGCTTGAAGCAGAAAACATCAATACTGGTGACTGGTAAACGGGAGGGAGGACTGCAGCTGCAGAGCTCGCTCTGAAGCAGTGTGTAAGCAAAGCCCAGGCTGTGATGCAGGCACTGAACCAACTCGCTATTTCAGTCTGTTGATTTTTGGCACTGCTGTCAGCAGGGTCTGTGCCTCGTTGGGAATAGCCAGGGCTCTGTCTGCACACCAAAAAAACCTGAAAGCCAGCGGTCAACAAGGAAGCTGTGTAAAATGAGCAGGACACTACCATATGCATCCTGGTAATTATGCCAGGAGCACCATGTTGAGGGCAGCAATGCTGTGAGGTACACACCCGAGCTTTCTGGCCGTGCTTGGGGAGCTCCAGCACAGTGTCCCGGAGGGCAGAAGGTAGGTGCAGGTTTACAGCCCATGGATGTGTAATGGACCCCCAGGTGTTTGGAAATGAATTATCACCAAGTAAAAGAATTGTTATAGTAACTTGAATAACTTGCTTGGAGTGATAATATGACTTACAAAGCTTGCTCACATTCTCTATCATAATTCATTTGGGAAAAAAATGTATTTCCCTCTTGGCGAAGCCGCAGGATCCCAGCTCCCTGTGCAACATGCACCTTCCCATCCATGGCAGCCCACCTCAGGGCTTCTCCCTCCACTGCAGGGTACCACTGCAGGTTATTTCATCCTCTCTTCCCACTCCCAACACCAACCCCCCTTCTTCTTTTTTGAGCTACCAGGCACCTCTCTGTCCCAGCACAGAGGAATCACCCAACTCTGTTCCCCAGCAGCACCTTTCCCTTCACTGCAGAGCATTTGCAGATGGAGCAGAGGCTCTTGTCCCATCCGATGCCCATCACTACTTTAGTACAGACTATTTTGCCACACAAGCAAGAAACAACACAAAACATAAGTGTGAATGGACTCCCTTCAACTCAGTGATCCATGGCATTGTCCCGGGTGCCAGGCTCATATGGCTATCAGATCACAGGACTTGTCTCCAGCAGAATGGGTCCTGTGGTGCAGTGCTCTGCACTGGACACCAGCACCACCCTGCTCCTTCCACAGGGCAGTGAGAGACCCCCAGCCCTGCAGGACAACGAATAACCGCTGCAACAACTGCACATGGCTCAGACACAGCTACTAGGGTTCTGGCTTGGGCTCTAGTTTGGCAGAGCCCCTTTGTCACGCATTTGGGATACCGAGGAGGGCGAGGGGAGCTCTCTGCCCTCCCACGCTGAGCCTCACCTTTCCCTGCTCTCCTTCATCGTGGCCTCAAACACCTCGTCGTCCTCATCTGCGTCTCTGTCGTGCATTCCATCCTTTGTGCTCGGGATACCGTGCTCAGGGTTCCCCTCAGGCATGCTGTCCCTCCTGCCTGGAGTCCCTGCAAAGCTGGGGTTGCTCTCGCTGTCCTTCTGGCTTTCGATAGCAGAATCCACCTCATCCCTCTCAGCCAGGATGTCGTCAATGTTGGTTTCGCGGTAGCAGCGGAGCGGCACGGTGTCCAGATCTGTCTCGGAGTACTTCACAGCCCTCCTAATGATGCCCGTCTCACAGGAGCCCTGCTCCTTGCTGCCTGCTGGGGACACCTCGATCTCCACCTCCACATGGCTCAGGCCATGCTTGGGAAGCGAGCTGGGTGGCTCTGCAGGCAGTGGGTGGCTGGGCTGCAGTGGAGGCTCAGTGTCGGAGGCTGAGGAGCCTGGAATAAAGCCCAGAGCCCCTGTTCAATCCCAAATCCCAGTGGGTTGGAGCTCTGCATACCCACAGTGTCACTGCCTGACACCTTACCTGTTTTCGGGGCACCCAGCGAGCCATAGAAAAACTCCCACTTGGCACGGGCGATGCGCTGGGCATGAGCTGAGCTCTGCCGGGGGCACGGCCAGGCGCTGCCCTGCAGGGACACAGTGGTCAGTGGGGCCGGGCTGGACACAGCGTAGTGTGGGGCCATGGGCACCTACCTGGGGCCGGGGGCTGGCGGGGACGTCCTGTGGCGGGGCCTGCAGCCCATTGGTGAGGGAGCCGAAGAGGCAGCTGGTGGTGAGAGAATGGGGATCCCTTCTGCCTTCGTGGGGACGTGTCTCCCCTGGGGACCTGCAGCCAGTCAGGAGCGGGTCAGACACAGAGGCCTCCAGCTTCAGTCTGCGGAGCAGCTGTTCCTGGGGCTGGGGCTGCCCAGGTGGCACACGCCAGCCCCCAGTGGGCTCTGCGGGGCCATTCTCCTGGGGCCCGCTGAGGGGCCGCACGCTGGCCTTCTCGATGAAGCGGAAGGTGACAACGGAGCTGCGTCCCTCTGGGGCCACCAGTGGGCTGCGGCTGCCGGGCGACGTGAGACTCGGGGCGGGATGGCCCCTCCGCGGGGTGCAGGGGGCTGTCAGCCGCCCCCCACCTGGGCAGCCCCCGTTGCCAAAAGACCCCATCTCTGTTGGCTTGCGAGCCAAGGAGCCGGTGCTGTTGTAGAGGCCAGGGGGGCAGCGGCGGGTCTCGGGGGCCAGGCCTTTGCGCAGGAGGTGCAGGCGACCAGCATTGAGGTTGGGGGTGAGGCAGCGTGGGGGGCTGTGCCGGCCTGGTTCAGGGCTGGAGGAGATAGGTGGCCAGGGCCTGCGGTCCCCATGGTGGGAGAAAGGTGTGGGTGAGGCGGTGCAGCCCTCGGCTGGGGGCAGGCGTACAAGGCTCCCCGCCTGCGCCATGCTGACGGGGTGAGCACAGGTGTCAGGGCTGGAGCTGGACAGGGTGAGGCATCCTCAGGCAGCCCTGGAGGGCAAGGAGAGGCTATTAGAGAAGGGGAGCAAAAATGGGGGAATGCAGATACCATGACGTTGCTTGAAAGTGGATGTAGGTTGGAGATTGGCCTGAGCCTGGGGACAGGTGGCCTGAGTGCTGCTGTCCCTGGCTCCCCTTGCTCGTCCAGCACTGTTCCACAGACCAGCAGCATACAGATGCAGTGGGAGCACATGCTGTATACACTGAAATTAGTTTCATTTAGCCTGATTTAAGCTGAATATTTTACTACCTGTAGCCACCTAATATCACCCTATATCATAAGGGGAAAAAAATGATATATGGGATCACTGAGATATCCCCAGACTGAAGGAATTTGATACCAGCAGACCAAGGATGAAGCCTGTCTCTTTGGAGGTCAGGTTGTGTTTTAAAGTGTGTCACCCATCACATGCCGCAGCCACAATCTGTGGCACAGACAGAGCTGTCAGCACCGGTGGATCCAAACAGAGGCAGCTGAGACAGCCCTGCCTGGGGGCCGAGCATGCCTGAGCCAGCAGCACAGCTCGGGACACCCCGTCGGGACACCCATCACCCCAGGGCAATGAGACACAGAGCAGGATGGGAGGACATGGCGCCTGGCGGCCCTGCGGGCAGCACTGCCAGCTCTACTCTCTCAGCACATCTCACTCATGGACTCTCCTCCTGAGTCCTCTGAGCTGCCGGTTTGCAGGAAGGGCTTTTTGTTCCCCATGATTTGCAGAGGTACCAATTCCTGCGCTTAGATCTCAGCACTTGAAAGCAAAAACCCAAATATCAGTGGGGGAAAGTGTGTTTTCTTCTCCCAGCTGCTGAGAGCAAACCAGACAGGGTTAAACTGAAGGCCGCAGGACTGGATTTTCAACAGTGTTTAGGCTGAGGAGATGCAGAGACATAACTCTTAATAAAATAGCCAAAATCACCCACATGGGGCAGACGTCTCTATCTGCACTACTACACTTGCAGCACACGTGGCTCCTACCGAGCAGCAATCCATAACCCACTGCCTGACGAAAATACTCTCCCGTTTAAGATGTCAGTTACTGTTTTTATAATTCTTTCTCCTGTTATGGTTGTATTCCCGTTCAAGGTTGCTTAACTGATAAATAACACAAATGCTGGGTTATATATTTCAAGCTAAACCCCACTTTTATCTAAATACAAACTGACACACATGCCAAGGAGAAAAGTTATCACTAGAAAGTAGTTGGCATGCACTGTAACATAAGGAATCTATAAAAAACAGCCCATCGCAATGCAGGCGAGTTACTGCTAAAATAAACGGGATGAGCACAGCATGTCCTCCTCCTTATCGAAGGGGAATTATCAAATGCAGAGCAGAGGTCATGCCCGACTGCAAGCCTCTGGAGCAGGGCTGCCCTCCCAGCCAGCAGAGCAAGCCTTTCTTCAGTGATGAAAGGTAAAAAGCACAAATGCAACACAGATGAAAAATCAGTGGCGTAGTGAGGCTTCCTGCTCGCCGATTTGAATTATGAATCAAAGCGATGCTCTTTACACCGCTGTGATGAATGGTTGTGCTGATGGCACCTGAGGGAGGCTGCCGCGAGGCAGGAGCTCCCATGCCCAGGGAAGCCACGGGCAGCACAGGACACATGTCACAGGGGACAACACAGGAGTAGCAGCGTGGCAGGCAGGGGCTGCATATCTATCGGGAATTTCATTTGTTCGACATAACATCTCGCCCCTCCAAGGCACTCTCTACTGCTGGCTGTCCCCTCCGAGCACCAAGGCGGTGCCGGGGATTCCCCCTGGCTTCGGGGCTGTTCCTGAGGGACCCGGCCGTGAGCTGCTCGCCGTGCCAGCGCTTGCCCGGCTCAGCGGGGCAACGCGGGTGAAGCAGCAGACGCCCGGCGCTGCTTACGCTGCAGGGGAAGCGCACACCCACGCGAGGTGTGTGTAGGGCCAACGCGCGCTCGCTGCGGGAAGATGCCGGGGAAGAGGCAAGAAACAGAACAGAGAGGGAAGGTGCTGAACTCAGGACGGGTTGTGCTGCCGTGCCGGGCGTGGGTCCCCTGCCACCAGCGGCAACTGCGCACGGGGACAGCCGGGCTGGGGGGGCTGCGGTCCGGCGGGGTCGGCCTCGAGGAGCCTCCGCACTCGAAGGACACAGAGTAACGTGGGGACAGCGGCCGCCCAGGAGGAGAGCCCGCAGTCTCTGTGGCCGGGGCACAAACAGGTGGCGGCAGCGAAGCACCCCTTACAGAGGGATCGCCGAGGCGAGGACGTGCCCCCCCGGGCTGGGGAAGGACCCGCGCCCCCTCCCTTTTCCCTTGCCCGGCCCGTCTCGCCCCGCGCCTCCGTCTGCTAGGGATCAGCCTTGAGTGGATGTGACAGCCAGTCGGATGAGCAGAAGCCCGCCCGGCCCTCCTCCCGGACACGTACCGCTGCCCCCGCAGCTCCGCACAGCTGCTCAATGCGGACGCCCGGCTCCCACCCGTTCCGGCCCGCAGCAAGTGCCGCAACTTTCCCCGCGCCCCCGCCGCGGTGCTCCGGCCTCCGGCACCGCAGCGCTCCGCTCCCCGCGCCTTACTGCCACTGCCGCCGCCGCATCCTGCTTCGAACTGCTGCTGCTGCTGCTGCTGCTGCTGGCGCGGCGCGGCGCGGCACGGCACGGCACGGCACGGCACGGCACGGCACGGCACGGCACGGCACGGCCCGCCCCGTCGGGCGCGGTGCGGTGCAGTGCCACCGGCCCCAGCCCGCCGCTCCCCGCCGCGCTAATCCCGGCGCGGGGCCGTCACTCCGCCCCGCTGACAGCCCCGGCAACCAATGGGAGTTCCCGCAGGGCGCCGCGCCCCGCCCCGCCCGGTGGCACCGGGACACGCGGCGGCGGGGGCGGCCGGACCGCACCGTGCCGGGCCCGTTGTGCGTGCCCCGGGATGACATCACGCTCGTGTCCGTGTGCTCGTTCCGGTAACACCATGATCATCCTCATGCCCAGGGCGACGCTGTGCTTATGTCCGTGAGCGTGTCCCTGGGTAACGCCGTGCTCATTCCGTGTCCCGTCGTGCCTGTCCCCACGTGCCACCGTGAACCTGTTGGTACGCACCTGTGGGTGTGAGCACTGCCGCGGGAGGTGCGTCCCTGAGCAGCAGTGGGCACATTCCCGAGGGGAATGCGTCCTGCTCATTGCCACGCTGCTGTGCACTGCGCACCATCGCTGCTTGGAGTCTGCAGAGACAAAGGGCCAAAAGCTTCCCAAGCCATGGGAAATACCACTGTGGAGTCAAAAAACCGCACCAATGCTGGGGAATAAAACCATCCCATGCATTGCCTACTGGGGCAGTGGGTGCTGGGGTCTTGGCCACCGTGCTGCCAGCACCAGGCCTACACATAGCAGCAGCTGACAGCAGCGCTCATCTCTTGCCCAGGCTGCTGGATCAATGCAGTATTAAACAGTCCTTTATTACCTAGCCTGGCAATTGTTACCATGGGCGTGCAGGAGGAGAGGCCCAGGAGAGCGGGTGTCCCCTGTGCATGCAGTGCTGCAGGAGGAACATAAGCAGAGCACCCTCCTGGGTGCAATCCCCACCAGCAGTGAGTCCAGCTCCATGCCTGCCTGCCCTTGCTATCACCCAGAAAGCGTGTCCTTTTGTCCCTGCCTGGGTGTAGGGACATGGGGAGGGAGCAGCCCACTCTGCTCATCTTTAATGCATAGAAGCACTGCCATTTTCTCCCCTCCTCCTGCAGGCTGCTGCCTGCACAGCCCCTCTCCCCCACACCGGGGACTGTGGGTCCCCGAGCTGCCTTGCACTGACAGCTTCCTCGGCAGACTGGAGCGGAGCTGGGCTAATTAGGGGCCTCACAGCCACGGGATCAACGACCTGATTCCTTCAGCAGCTTCTTTGATGGCAGCAGGGTGGGGGGAAGGCTTTTCTCTAAGCCAGTGCTGGAGTGTCAGATTTGACCAAGTGGAAGGGCTTCGAGCTCCCCAGTATGCCCATACCAGGGCCCTCCCAGCACTGCCATTTCCCACTTCCACCTCCTGCTTTGCTGTGCCCCCTTGCCTTCCCACAGCTTTCTACCCTCTCTGCTTGCTGTCATTTGGGCACTTTGACCCCTCCAGTCCATGAACACAGACACCGTATCACCCTGCATGGTCCCACTTAGCCACACGTCACCCCATCCCACCTCCTGGACCCTGCCTGGTCCAGTCCTGGGCAGTGTCCAGCAGCACTTTGCATAACTGCTGCTGCCTTTGTCCTTGCTCGCCTCCACAGACCAGTGCTGCACCTGTCTCTCCTGCACCCAGTTATCACCAGGATGGCTCAACCATGACCGTAGTGCTTGCAAGGCACCATCAAGGACATTGGGCTGTCCCAGCCACCACACAGAGCCCAGTGGCAGGAGAGACCCACGTGCTGTGGCCCCCATCGCATCCCAGAGCGCTCAGGCTGCTGACCAAGCCAGCAGGGCAGTGCTTTGGCTCCAGAGTATAGCACAGCCCTGCAGATGTGGGTGTCCCACTGGCAGGTGCTTCTTTCTGGTGGGCTGAACCACAGTAATGCAAACCCAGTCCCACAGGAGGCTGCTCCCAGTGAGGAGCTGAGTTCCTCTTATCTCCAAACTGAGTGCTCAAGGCAACTGCTGAGGTCGCTGTGTTCCCCCAAGGCCCAGACTTAACTACATGGCTCTAATTAATCCCTTCTGTGCCAACACCCAACCGCATCCTCACTAGATATTAAAAACCCACTGCAGTACAAACCAAGCCTTTAATGGGCTGCTGCGCTTATCTGCTGTCCCACCAGGCACTGGTTGTGGATAAATGGTGCAGACACCCTGCCCTGACACTCACCACACCATCCAGCCCCATGCAGCACAGAGCACATGTGTCATCCCCTGGCACCTCCTGCTCTCCAGCTTGGGGGCACTCACCTGGCTGGGGGTGGGTGAGGACACGGCCCTGGGTGCCTGCCTGCACCAGCATTGCTCCATCAGGACGAAGGCAAAAACGCCATCATGGTAGAAACTGTCCTGGGAATGTGGGAGGTGGGGCCTCAGCACAATTTGAGCCATAAATAATCTCCCTACACAGCAGTTAAGGGAACAACTGTGTGGGAGTATCTCTTGGTAAAAAAGATGCTCAGGGAAAAGATGGTCTTGAAGAAAAGCAGTTGTCAGGGTCTGGTTGTGGGGTGTGTGCTGCGGTGAGCTGATAGGCTCAGACCCGCAGGGAGGAGAGGTTAGCCTTGAAAAAGGCAGCCCTGCAGGTCACTAGTGTGGGCTCCTAGCAGGCAGCACACGGCACAGATCCTTGGAGCTGCTCTCCAATTGCAACAGTATGGAGTGATGCCCTCTCTCCTTCTTTGGATTCACATGGAGAAAGGCAAAAGGGTGCAAAGAGGATCAGCCAGTGGATGCAGGGACTGTTTGCTGTAGAAGAGGGATGGCGAGCCCCAGGCATGCTGCCTAACAGCAGGGAGGGAGCGTGGGCACATACGTAATTGTGAGAAGTGTGGAAACTGAAATATCAGATGAGGAGGAGTAATTACAGGTGTAGTGACAAAGCTGAGCATCCAGACCAGACACCAGGCAGTCTTCCAGTTGCCCACCTGGGCTTTGCTTTACTTTGATTTGATTGTAGGTTTCTTTAGATCTCACCATTTTAACCCTAACTGTAGACTCAGATTGTCTATGGTAGAAAACTGCGAACAGTCCAAAGTCTTTGCAAGGTTGCAGGCACTCGGCCAGTGAAGTGCTCAGCCACCACATCAGGGGACCATCTTAGAACCTGTAACAGCCTCCTATCAACAGAGCACATCACTCAGACTACCCTGAGCCTCAGCAGGCCTGGGAAGCTCTGCCATCCTCAGAGCATGCCTTTGACATGGAAATAGCTGCATTAACAGTGCAAGAGCAAGCCAGGGGTCACAGGGGGAAGGACTGGCCCAAGCTCCGCCACAGACCAGGGAACCAAGGCCTGGGCTCCTGGCCTGTGGGCAGCCCTCCTATCCACAGGGCTCCTTCCCTGCTGGCCCCAGTGTCCCAAACGTGAGATCAAGAGCATGCCACTGTGCTGGGCACCTCACACACAGACACCAGCAGAGCTGGCTGATGTTTGTGTGCTTCAGCAGGACATCCATGTGGATGACACTGGCAGGATCAGCCCAAGGCCTGGCTCCCAGCAGCCAGACTCGTGTGCTGACAAGGGAGGCACAGGAAAGCTGCAGTGACCATTGTCAGCTAATCTGCTCCCTCCCCCTGGCTCAGCCCACTTCTCGTCACCAGGATCAGCTCAAGGCGTGACGCAGAAAGCTGTCCCCTTGCAGGGCATCAGCAGCACTGGGTGACAGCAAGCTCACTCGTGTCACACACTAAAGGACTGTACTCAGCTGTGCTACACACAGCCCTGTGGTCCTGCAAGCACTTTGGCATTCAGCCCAGAACTGCTGCTGAACAGGAAGCTTCAGAGTGTCCAAAATGGTATCTTACATAGGGAACAGAAGTGAAGGGCAGGGGCCTGGTGAACCATAGGGTGCAATCCTCCAAAGAAAAGGAAGCACCCCCAGCTCACTTCACCCATCCGACCAAGGGCAGCCACCTGGCCAAGGGCAGCCTCCAGCCCAGAAGCTGGAGCTCTGCATGACACCAGGCACACACCATGCCAAGGGGATAGCAGGACACACAGCCCACTGTGTACTGTCAGAAAATCATCAGGCCTTTCGTTCTCCAGAAGCAATCAAGACAGTCTTTCCCACTTGCTCTTTCAACCCCAGGGAGCCAGCAGCGACCCAGCGAGAGTTTTAGCCGAGGCCCAACCTGTACCACATACAGCACACCCCCACAGATACTGGGTGGGACCTACCATTGCTGCAGGCCTAGGCAGGAAGCTCTGTTGGACATCTTGATGGTGTGCTTCAGCATATCTCCTGGCAGCACTGCATCACTTGCAGACAGCCTGTGTACAGGAAACAGAACAGTCTAAGCATTTCCCAGCTGTCCACAACTCCTAGTGTCTTCATACCACTTGCCATGGGCAGAAGGTGCAGATGAACCTGCCTGCTAACTGCCCTAGGATGTAAGTCCTGGGAGCACCCATACACCCAGTGGCACTAAGCCTCCTCTGGGCCTCCTCCCACCCTTGCCACAGGCCCAGGGCATGCAGCTGAGACCAAGGAAGGACATTCAGTCATACTTCTGCCTCTGTTACATCCTGCAGTACCCAGACTGCATCTGTGTAGCTCTGCTCTGAGCCCTGCCACCAGCAGGCTCCTGGGAAGTGACTCAGCCAGCCCATCTAGCAGAGTGAAAAACACCAGCAGAGGTTGAAGCAGGAGCAGCGTGGCCTCACTTGCCAGCCCCATATACATGGTGCTTGGAGAGAACCACAAGCATAGCACAGATTGGTGAGTTTGGCACGAGCCAGGGCTCTTGGCCAGGGCTCCTGACACCAAGGTAGCTGCACAGGCCAGCAGTAATGGAGATACAGGCATCACCCCCAAGGCAGAGCAAGGGGTTCCCTGCCAATCGTCAGTGAAGAGCCAAGAGATGTGGCACGTGGGACCTCCTGGGTGCAGTGATCCCACACCTGCAGTGAGAGCAGTGCCATCCATGCCCATAGGGCAGCACTGAGGCAGAGAGACCTTCCCCCAGCCACCCTCCTTGGCAAGCAATGAGCGGGCTGTGAAGGGAAGGCAAGATCTTCCTTCCTGGAGCATTTGGGACCGCAAGGGAACAGCCGCTTCGGTTCCCACTGGAGTTGTTATGGCAACGGCAACGGGAGCGGCTCGGGCCCCTCTTCGTGGGTCCGGAGGCCGCCGGCGGCACGGACCCGCTCCTCCCTGGGGATAGGGAGGGGCGGGACGAGGCGAGGGCGGCGGCGCCGGTGGGCAAAGTCCTACCGGTACGGGCACCAGGCGGAGAAGCCGGGCTCAGCGGCTGCCGGTCGGGGTGCCGAGAAAAGAAGAAGCCCGAGGCTCGGACTCTCCCGGAGGCAGGAGGAGGGGCCGGGGCGGGGGCCGGGGCCCGGAGGCGGCGCCGTCGCTCACCGGCTGCGGCGGCTCCCAACGGGTCCCGGCTCCGCGTGGTGCTGAACGGACAGCGCCCAGCGCCGCGCATGCGCACGGCCGCCCGCTAGGGGCAGGGGCGTGCGTGGGGGCCTCCAGTCGGGGTGGTGCGGGGCTCCGGGAGCGGTGTGCACCTGGGAGCCGTGTAGCCGCCGGGCCGGAGCAGCGGGCGTGCTAGCCCGTGGGGAGCGGGTATCGATGGGGACCTGGGGTACCGGCGTGCGAAAGGGAACCGGGACAGCTGCGAGGCTGGAGCTGCTGCTGTGAGCTGGGCACGGGGACGGCAGGCACCTGGAGCACTTGTGCGCGGCTGCATCGGCCCGCTCCCCCCGGACCGTGCCCGCGGGCTCCCGCACCGCCTCCCGGCAGCCATGGGCGGGGGCTGGGGGAGGGGCACGACGCCGAGAGGCGGGGCATGGCGTCAGGGGGCGGGGCAGTGGTGGTAGGACGTCACTGCGGGCACCGGTGGACAGCAGGAGGCCTGTTCGGGTGCAGTCGGTGTGCTTGGAGTTCCGGAGGGAGTCCCGCTGGGTCCGCAGGTACTGTGGCAGGGCCGGACCAAGACCGGGCGTCTCGGGACGGGTCTTGGTGCTGAGGGTGTGCGGGAAGGCGTATGTCGGGCCGCCGCCGTTACCGCCTCGTCCCGGGGCCTATAGGCCCCCGGGACTGCCTCGTCCGAGGTCCCGTCGTCGCGGGGCTGGAAGCGGGGCCGGGGTGCTGCGAGACTCCCAGCGCTGCCCTGTGGGGCGGCCTCTCGCTCCGCCGAATGCCGCAGGGCCGGAGTGCAGCGGAGTTATCGCGGGGCGGAGCTGCTCGGCGCAGGAGCCGGGTGCGGTCCCAGCGCAGGCTCCAGAGTGGACTGCTGGGGCCGGGGCTCCTCGGGCAGCTGGTGCGGTGCCGTGCCGCGGGGCGCTGCGGGCCGGGAACGCGCGTCGAAGCCGTGAGCTGCCGCGCTGGGAGCCGGCGCCCCGGAAGGTGGTTGCCCACTCCGTTGCTGCGTCTCGACCTTTGGGCTTAGCTGTGAGGGACGCCGCTGAGTATTTCCCTCCGTCCGTTCCTCCCAGAGACGCCCGGCTATAGCTGCGGGGTGGCGTCGACTGGCTCCCGCACAGCCTGGCTCCCTGGCGGCCGACGATGAGTTTGACCCCTTCGAGGGGATGCCTCCTGGACCTGCCCTGGGAGGACATCTTGGTCCCACATATTCTCTGTCATCTGCCGCTGCAGCAGCTCCTGGGCCTGCAGAGGGTCAGCAAGGCGTTCCAGGCTCTTGTCCAGCTGTACCTGGCCAACATGCGATGCTTTGACTCCAGCCAGGTATGGGGTGGCTCTGGAGCTGGGGAGCTGTCAGTGTGCTGACTTGAGAAAACCTGGCTGCGAGGGGACAGGGAGGTTTCTGCTTGCGAGCTTGGGCTGGTGGCTTGTGTGTCTGGCTGGGCAGATGGGCTTGGGGAGGAGGGGTGATGATTCAGGGCCCAGTAATGCCACTTCTGCCTTTAGCGAGAGGCGTGGGGAGGAGTGAGTCTGGAAACTCCACCTAGACCATTATGGGGCAGCGGCTCATGGAAATGAAGCCAGCTTCAAGGTGGCATGGCCTGATGACTGTCACCAGGGGTTATGCAATGGAATGGGTTTAGCAGGAGATGAGGGATAGCTTGTGCCCATTCTGGGAAACATTGTCTGGGACCTGTGCAGTGGTGGCTACTGCTCTGTGAAGACCCAGTGGTCTGCCATAGAGGTTTTGGAGAGCTTCTTGTGGATGTATAAATGCAGAGATGATGAAGGAGGAGAGAGTATCTCGCAGCTTGTGGCAGCAGCCTTGACATGAGGTGCTCTGTGGAGAAGAGCTAGGTGGCACGGTTTGCTCTAGGACTGGGAGAGGGTGGCTTTGGTCACCTTTGTGTCACAGTGGAAAAGAAGAAGGGAATGGGACTCTGGGAAGTATTACGCTGAGCCATGCCAATCTGAGGTCCCTGAGGATGCCTCACTGTTACTGGGTTCCCCATGCAGATTGGCTCGGCCGTCCCTAGAGATGCTTTCCTCAACCTGCTGAAGGACAACAAAGTGCTGCAGCAGCTGGCGCTCCAGAACTGCTCTGACTGGCTGACGGATGGGGAGCTGCTCCCAGTCATCATGCAGAACCACCACCTGCACCACATTCAGCTGAAGGGCTGTGCCCAGCTCAGCTGCCACGCACTGATGGTCATCTCGCTGAACTGCCCCAACCTGCGGCGGCTCTCCCTGGCTCACTGTGAGTGGGTGGACAGCCTGTCCTTGCGCAGCCTGGCCGACCACTGCAAGGCGCTGGAAGCTGTGGATCTGACGGCCTGCCGGCAGCTGAAGGATGAGGCCATCTGCTACCTGGTGCAGAAGTGCAGCAGGCTCAAGTCTCTCTCTCTAGCTGTCAATGCCAACGTAGGCGATGTGGCAGTAGAGGAGACTGCCAAGTGCTGTCCTGAGCTGGAACACCTGGACCTCACGGGGTGTCTGCGAGTCAAGAATGACTCTATAAGGTATTGAACGATGTGGGAAGTAGGGTGCGGAAGGCAGGTGTCCAGGGTGGGCAGAAGAGACCCTGGGAGGGGAGTCTTGCAGCAGAGCCACTAGCAGGCCCTCTGTGCTACTGAAAGCAAATTTCCCAGCATGTTGAGGAAGGTACCTGACCATGTCCTTTTGATTCTCTTGGACCACCATGGTGTTGTTTTCAAAGGATGGTGTGTGTGTGGCTGCTGGGAGCGGAAAAGAGGTTATGCTGACGAGTTATGCATATGGGAGTCTGGCATGCAACTTGCATGTGCTCTGTCTTGTCAGGGTTCTGGCTGAGTACTGTCCCAAGCTGCGCTCGCTGAAGGTGAAGCATTGCCACAATGTGGCTGAGTCCAGCCTGAGCGTTCTCCGAAACCGTGGAGTGGAGCTGGATGTGGAGCCTCTGCCGCAGACGGCTCTTGTTCTCCTGCAGGACATGGCTGGCTTTGCCCCTTTCATTAACCTCCAGATCTAGAACTGCTGCTGCTATTGGGGGGGGAGGGGGAGGGGGCAACATGTCACTGAGATCCCTGGTGGACGCTGGAACTGGTTCCTGCTGAGATGTGCAGAGGGAGAAGTCGATCCTGTTGGTGAGGCTGGCCCAAAAGGGGCTCACTCTTCTCTCTGGGGCTATTTAACAGCCACTGCACATTTGTGAGTGAGCTCTGTGTGTGCCTCCTGGAGAAGAAACTCCCTCCGAAGCAGAATGAAGACAGTGAGGAACTTGCAGGAATACCATAGTGCTGAACAGACCAGCTAATACACAGGATTTATTATTTGTCATATTTTAAATTTCAAAGTTGCAGTTCTCCAAAGAGCAGGAGAATGTTTGAGGACCGTGGACTGTCACCTTCTGAGGAACTTGTGTAGGACACGCCAGCACTGCTGTTGAGAACAATCCACGCTGGCTGGAGTAGTAAGGAGGAAAACTGGCAGCCCTCATTCTGGCAGGTGAGCTCTGGGAGGAAGGTAGTATGAGCCCAGCGTACATGTGCAGACCTAGCACCCTGCCATAGGCACTGGGTTAGCACAAGACAGTAGTTGTTTTCTAGGGGAATATGCTTCTAACTGCAATTCCAGTAGAGGAAAAGCACCAAACCTCATTGTGCTATTGCTGAGAGCAGTTGGTTCTTGCTATTTGTTTCTTCCAGATTATGATTTACATCTCTGTGGTACCCAGACCTGCTCCTACATCCTGCTCCATGTTGCACAGCTGTAGGCTTGCTATATAATAGCGGCTAGAAATGGCAATTGCCAAATGGCCTGGCCATACTGTCAGCTGGAGTTCATGGAGTGCTGCAGGTCGCGTTGGCAGGGAGAGCCCAGCTCTTGTTTAGAGTCTAGCCTCATCATCTGCATCTAATAAGTGGTCAATCAAAGAGTAGCTACTTGTAGTAAGCAAGATGAAGGTAGTGATTAGGAGACGACCCTGCTCCTTGAAGAGGGATCAGAGGCAGGGTCTGTAAAGCATGTGCATGCTTCAGATGAAATACACACCAACTCACATCACCTTTATTAACACTTGCACTCAAAGCAACAGTGCACAGAGATTTCTAAAAAGCTTGCTGCTAAACCACAAGCTACATTTTTAGATCTAAAGTCCCATGCAAGGAATAGCAGAGAACGCCCAACAACCATTATGGAGTGCCCCAGGGGCAGAAGCGCAGCTACACAAGGAGAGGAGACTTGACCGTATCAGCTAGGTTAGTTCAGGAAGCTGAAAGCAGTGTCCTGGCTCCTAGGTTAGTTCCAGTTAGTGTTGGGTAGGGGAGTCCCTTCATCCCCAGTGCTGCATGTCCATCCTCCACACCTGGCCAGTGAGGTGGAGGCTGAAGAGCAGGAGGACACGGCTGTCAGTGGAACTTGTACTTCCTGGCTGGTTTGAGGCTGATGTAAGTTTTCTTCATCTCCTCACTTTCTGGCTTCTTTATGTCTTTGTACCTCTCTCCCTTCGTACTCACCACCTGGTTATCGATGTAGCGGATCAGCTTCTTGGGAGCCTGGAAAGACATAAACATCACATAAGGGCGACAAGCGTAAGCTTGTGCTTGGTGAATAAGGGAAAAGACTAGGTTGGGATGAGTACCTGTCCTTTATGTTGGGAGTCTTAGCTAAAAATGGGAAGAAAGCAGTCTGAGGAGGGGGCAGAGGGGAAAAGCTGGAGGGAGCAGTGCTAGTCAGGAGTGCCAGATAGTCACAGACCCTGCAGTAGCACCTCTTAGCTGACTAGTTCTCCTTTGAGACTACTGCTGCAAATTCCCTTGTGTGTTATGCTGCTATTTAGATGTGCAGCCTGCTCTTTAAACCTTGCAGCCAAAGGCATTCAAACTCCCGGTGAGCTGGAACTGCACTATTCTCACCTCTTTCGGTGGAGCGGGTCGATGTGTTTTCTGATCTTCTGCACTATCCACCATCATATATCTGAAACACAAGATGCAGTAAGTGAACACTGCAACATGCATTGCCTAGCGCTATTCACAGCCTTTATCTCTAATTTCCTGTCTGGTTTGGGGCTGTGCAATGTGTCCTACTTGCGTAGACTGCAGTTAGGAGCACTTAAGATTCCCTACTGAATGAAATAGGTAAGAAGAGTGTCACCCTTCTGATGAGAATTCAGGAGAATTCTCATGGAATAGCTGGCCGTATGAATGGTATCAAAACCTTAGGCTGTTGAGAAAGCAGATAGCTTCCTTAAAACTGAGGGAGGTGCTGAGGTCGGCATGCTTTGCCATTAGGACAACTTTGCTCCTTTTCACTTGGTGTGATGGCAGCCAAAGGAAGAGGCCACAGGGCCAAATCTCTTCTGCCTGAAGAGATGGTATGCCTTTCACACTCCATGTGCTACTTGACAAGGAGTCGAGTTTGAGCTGGAAGCAGCTTAACAGAAACATCATCTCACTCCCTATTTAAAAGGAACACCAGAGCCCAAGCATTTGCTTGCTGTACTGCTGAATTAGCATTGAGACTTCAGAGCTGGTCTGTAGGTGGACAGCACAGCTGACCACAACTTCTCCCTCAGTACTTAGCATAGTTGTTCCTGTGTATTTTCAGCTATGGCAGTCTGCTCTTTGTACCTGTGCTTGAGTGATGTTTAAAGTACAGGATATTGCCAAAATGTCATTAAAGTTCCTAGGAACTTAACTATCAGCTGGTGTTGGCTTTTTTTATTTTGTTCCCATACATTTTATTGTGAAGCAAGCCTGCAATGGAAACAGGCACAGACGGGGATTGTTAATTTTATCTGGATGGCATTCTGCTTTGCTTTTGCTTTCCTATACCATCAGTTATTTACATCCTCAAGGAGTAAAATGGTGGAAAATATGATTGGATAGATGCATTGAATTTGTGTGCCCACAGGAGGATATTCATGAAAGCTGAGATCTTAAAGTGGATCGATTAAACCACACTGTGGGTTGTCTATTGAGAATTAAATGTGTTCGGAAATGAATAAAGGTAAACCAATGTAAAGCCACCTTCATTCCCTAGAAGTCCATAGGGAGACTTCAGAGAGGTTTCCTTAAATGCACTGAACTTGCACCTTCAGCAACTAAGATTTGATCTCTGTTGCTGTACAGTCTCTTAAAGATATCTTTAGACTTATTTGGACTGTCTCCAAGGCTAGAGGTATGAACGAGCTGCTGTAGTTCTTACAAGGCACCATGTGTTACCTGAGCTGCAGTATGATGTTTGTGCCTTGAACCTTTAACTGGGACCTCAGATGACAACACTGTGATTTACAGTATACCTGTAATAGACTGAAGCCTCACATAACCAGTGTTTTGACCCCACTGATGGAACTAAGCTGTGTGCCAGAGCTGTAAAAAGAAAACCTATTCTGCTTTCCTGTCTAATCATTATACTTGTGCTTGAATGTGTTTCAGATATACCCAGATAAGCTTCACACAGCATCCTTTTCAAACATCATACAGTCCAAGATCTTCATAGACCATGTTGTTATTCTGCCACCATACCTTTTCACAAACTGCTAACTCCTTCACTATCCAAATTCTTCTTTTCTGAGTACTTACTTCTGTAAGATAACCTGCTTTAGTTCCTCATGGTTGGGTGCTCTGCGGGGCCGCACCAGCTCCTGTGAAGAAACAGAGCAGGTGTTTGAGAAGCAGAACATAGAGGGTGCACAGCTGCCCTGCTTGCTCAGCTAAGCCCAGCTACTGATGCAGTACTACCAGCTCATGGGGGAAGTGAGGTGCCAGACACAGCTCCTCTGGGCTGCTGGCTTGGTGTAGGCACAGCCTGTGCTTGGAGAGCTGAGGGAGAGGGGGGCATCGTTCTGGATCTTTCTGGTATATTGCTGGAAGTGTAGAAAGCTCCTGCACTCACTTCCTATTCCAGCTGGAATATATGTATTTAAGCTCTGCTCAATGACCTGGTGCCACCCAGCTCAGAGTACAGTACCTTCACACTTGCACCTGCTGTGCCGATTTCCACCTTCTCTTCCACAATTAACTGCACTGCTTCTTCCAAGTTACCCAGGGCCATCGCTAGTGCCTTCTCTGCCTGGCTTACAGTACAGGCTGGGAACATCTCCAGTAGCAGCTCCACACCACCCTTCAAGTCATCGCCTGCCTAGTTGGAGCAAGAGAGACAGAGATCTGATTTTGCAGAGCAAAAGTATCACTGCAAAGTTGGGAAATTCAACTTGCTGTTAGCTGAAGGCTCTCTCTCTCTCATTATAAAGGTGAGTATAAATTCCTTTCTTGAAGCTAAAAGGACACTGTATCCACAAGGAGAACGCAGCCCTTAATCTATTCTCCCTGTATTTCAGTCCTCTTTGAAACAAGCTTTCTGTGGCCCGGTTCATCTGTGTGGTTCTGCTATTTATCTCCTTAGGAATAAATTTTCTGGGCACTGTGGCTCAAATGCTTGAACTCCTTCCCTTGCAAGGTTCTCTCTGATCACAAAGGGATGACACTCCTAAGCACAGGGACCTCTGGCTACATCAGAAGGAAGCACAGCAACAGCATTTCCTAGAAAGGCATGGACAAAATGATTGAACTGCAGAGCAGTAAAACACCAGTACTGAAGAAACAGCAAGCAGAGCTTGAGGTAAGGAGCTGGGGGGGGTTTACTAAGTGCTGCAATGCTTGCAGTGTGGGTCATGCTGAATGGAGCTGCAGAACCAGGACTGCTGTGCTAATGACTCACTGTGGTGTAGCTCAGTATATAGAACACCTCATTGAAGGTGGGATGGATGTCTTCAGGACTGACACTCAGATATGACCACTAAATGCTGCATCACAGCTACGGAGATAAACGGTAACCAAGTTCAACTGTGAATGGAACTGGGGGAAGTGGGGTGGAGCCTGGCTAGCTCCTGGCATCCTTACTGCACTCTAGGATCTCGGAGAGCGCTAAGACAAGCTTTCTTCTGCCTTGCTGCCTCAGGACTGGAAAGGATGAGTCAGAGTGACAACCTGTGCTCTTCTGGCAGTACATAACTTTCCACTTGAACACAGTCTTGCTCAGGTCATACAATGGGGTGATCGCAAGCTTCAACAATGCTGTGTCACAGCCTATGCTTGTGGTTCCCCTTGGAGCCAGAAAATGCCTTAGTTGGTACCAGTCGGCTAGTGCGAGGGATTCTGTCACCCTGCTCCACTGTGAGATGTACATACCTGGGCCCCAGCTCCGTCTGTAGGTGTGCACAGCCTTTCATCTTTGCAGACTCCAGCTCCAGGCTCCTGGCCTTTGGTCAGGTCTTCAGAGGGCACTTCTGTTCTGCTTTCCACAGCTTTTTGGCTAGGTTTTTCTTAAAGATACAGTGATATCTACTGAGGATCAGCCCCACTAAGTACAGAGCTCTGTGCTTTCTGTTAGTAGGAGGCTGTTAGTGCACTATCAGCTGAAGTGAATCTTCTCTTAAATGAAAAGACAGTAGAAAGCACTACTGTTCTTTTTGCCTTTGGTGAGTATAGCTGCAGCCCTACTCATACTGACCTGCAGGAAGGCAGTGCTAACATGCTGGAGTGCCTGAGCTCTGCATTCCCATGCTTTTCACAAGCAGTCCTACTCTAGCATTCTCAGGCCTCTTACATTTTGGCTGTGGGTATTTATGGTATTGTTAGTGTCTAAGAATTTCCTGATGTTTGCTCTAACTTTGAACCAAGATGTTATTCTGATTTTAAATCTAGCAAAACGCATTGGTGGCTCCCAAGCTGTGTATAACCCAGCACACCTTGTGGTCAGGTTACTCTGATGCATCTCTTTTTATAGGCTCTTTCTGTGTCACTATAAGAATTATTTCACCTCTTCTCTAACCTATCTGAAAGGCTACATCAGGATTCTTAAAGAGTAGGATGCAAGACACTAGAGCAGAACAGTAAATTTAGTCAGTTTCAAGGTGAAACTCACCTTTGTTACGTGCTTCACCAAGCCTTTCTGAGAGAGAGAACATCATTTCACAAACATTCCCACTGCAAGAGACAGATGCTGAATAATTAGGGTGAGGAATTAAAGCACTAGCCTATCCCACTTGACTTACTCTTTATAAAGATATGAGGCTTGATAGGAAGCCCAGTTACCAAAACTAGCATTCCAGATAGCCAAGTATCTAAGTTGTTAACTATCCTGGGATTAGGATTTGTGCATTCAGACAAAGCCTAGCTTAATCATAATGGTACAGGTTCAGTACTAATACATCACAATCTGGATATAAACAAGAATTCATGGTGCTGATGTGGTTGGGCCAGGCCCTCAGTGCGTGGCATGCACATACAGAACAGTAGCATTAACACACCTCTGAATTTCTGCAAAGCCAGGGATATATGCCTCCATCATTTCCACAAAGGTGTCCATGTCGAAGGTTTCCTCAGAGGACTCTGGTGAACCCAGCTCTTCCAGGACACCCGTAATGTAAGAGAAGAAAACTTCATCCATCCCACTGGAGAAAGAGAACACGGCACAAGTAAGCAGCATCAACAGGACCATATTCTTTCTCTCCATCTCTGTTTGCCTCTGTTGCATCTAATAGAACAGCAGAAGTGCCTATATGGGAAGCATTCATGGATAAATCCAGAAAACTTTGGTTCACCTTCCTAGGTAGGATTGAATGAAAGCCACTGCATCTGTCTAGATACTGCGCCCTTGAGGGTATGTCAGCTGAGCTACCCAAAATATTCCAAGTGCTCACATCCTGATTTTTGTGTTGTCTGGTGTTCTAGGTGATGTCATTATGTTTTATCAAGTTACAGCTTCCATGTGATGCAGTGTTCTCTGCTGACCCACTTGCATCACTGCTGCCAGTGGCTACATAACCGGCTGCCTCAAGGCAGCTGTATCTCTACATGTAGGCAGAGTTCAAAATAGGGAGAGCTGTGACATAGCAGTGTACTGCTTAGAAAGCCTTCTGGGATTGCTGTAGATGAAAGGAATTCCATATTCTAACATGTACTACTTGGCAGGAAATTAATCATCTTGGTCACCAAAGAAATGACACTGCTAGTCTGTAATGCTGAAACATAGTTCAAGGATTTACATCAACACCTGTACAAATTAGCTGCATCCTGGATATGACTTAAAGAAGAGCAAGACAAAATGCAGGAAAACTGCAAACGTTGCACTTGAAATTTAGTACAACGTATAGAGGGACAATTAATGCAGAGTTCAAGCTAAAACAATACTCAACATACCTGAGGTCTGCAGCAGGGATGTGGGACTGGATGAAGCACGTCAGTGTCTCTCTAATGATTCTTTCAAGTTCCATGTCTCCTTAAATCTTTTCTCTAAAAAAGAGGAGGAAAAGAAAATTCCATCTAATTTCATGTAGTAGATATCAACAAGATCAAAAGGCAAGTGTGCTCTTCCCATCAGAACAATTCCTAAATTCCTCCAATGTGGCTGTCACCCCTGGGTAACAGCAGTCAGAAACCGGCAGAAAGCAGTGTGAGTATCCACAGGGAGTACCAGCCCAAAGAAGCCCAGCCTCCTAGGCATCTCCTGCTTGTGTTAATGCTAACATTATGCAGCTGCACTGTACATTTAAAATGTCCCTTTCAGGAAGTAAAGATAGAAATGCAGATATGCCCAGCTGCAGGACCTTAGAGACACCTCCTGAGCAGGAATGCTGTGCTGTCTGGCAGGGAAGTGGTGGCTTGAGGGTTTGTGTGCTCACTGCAGGAAGGGGTGGACCTTTCATCTGCTAAGTATTCAGTGCTGCTTGGACTCAAAAATGAGTGGGAAGAAGGGTAATGTCTCTTGGAGAAAGAAAAACCTTGCCTGGATTTTACAGGAAAATACCAAGCAGGGCACAAGCAACTAGTCTGCCAGCCAAAATATCAAAGGTCTCCAGGTCAGGCATGGAGTTGCAGTGGAATCCTGTCCAAACAGGAGTGTTGTTGTGCTTGGTAAATGAGCCATTCTACAGGCAATGCAGCTGCAACAAAGGTCACTTGATAACCCAAAGCTCTCAGGGGAGTTCTAAAGAATCACAGAGCTCCCACAGAAATAAAGGCAGAGGGAGCTGCCCACAGTCCTCCTTCAGCTGTCAGATGTGGGCCTGGACTGGATCTGGTGTGGAAAAGCTGTTCCTTAGCCACTCCTTCACATTTGGGTCTAAAAAACTGCTGGGTGAACAAACTCCTGGTGTAAGCACAGAGTTCTTCCTGAAGAGGAAAACTAGACCTGCATATATAGAAACTGTCATTGGCCAAAGTTTCCAGGCTACAGAGGTAATCTGTAAACCCTTCTTTACATTTGACAATCACATCAGGCAACGAACACTGAGTTATCAATGCTGTATCACTATACAACCAACATACACATTAAAACTCAGCATGTGCATAGGAAAAGCCAGGGAAGGCATCACTGGAAAAGACTGTTTGCTATTTTAAAAAAAAAGCTACTTCATAGAAGTACTTGCTCTTCTGTAGCTTCAGTTAGAGAACTCCCATTTAACAAATGGGAGTTAAAGAAAACAAATGTTTTCAGGTAGGAGCTCTTCATACAAAGAGCCCAAGTGAGCTCTTGTGCGCTGCTTTTGTTTTTCATCCCTGCTGTAATCCTTTGCTTGCTTCTCTCAGTGTTGCAGATGTGACAGCCTGCAAGTGTGGCAGCTGGCTGTAAAAACTACCATGTGTTAAAGCATCTTCCTGTTGCTCATTTCTTGTTTTTGTATTTTGCATGTTCTCTGTGATGTGACAGAAATGAGGTGATCTTTGTTATCTTTGCAGCGTACCTGGAAAAAAAATGTGAGCTTTCTTCCATCCTTCTCAGACATTAAAAAACCAGTGGTAAGATTCTGAATTTCAGTGATGGCAAGAATACTGTCCTGTGCACGTGGGTTTTTTTCCAAATTGGAAGCTGAATCTGCAAGTGCTGGCAATGACCAAGCCTCCTAAACTTATACTTGAACAAGTCCAAGCAAAGTAACCTTCCTTTCACAGAAATAAGAGGTGGAAGATCAACATATAGCAATAAAAATGCTTTCTCTACTATCAATCCTGTCAAGAAGAATGCTTGCTTCCTTCCTTCCTACTCAGCCTTCATAACATCTGGTGAACTGAAATCTAAAAGATGTTGTCCATTTCCATGAATAAGCCAATATTCTGTAAGAGATACTATATAGTAACCAATAAGATTTTCTGACAACCCAATTACCTGAACAACAGAGTACAATTCACCATGTCAAAGGCACTTTTGTGAGGTTCATAAATTAGCTGCTGGTAATTTATTCTGATCAATAGAACAGGTAAAGTCACTCATCTCCGTAATCAAAGGCAAACGTCAGACTGAGACAAGAGAAACAGCAAAACATAATTTAGAAATGGTGTTGGAGAGATAGGAAGCTACTAGCTGCTCTTGAATCCAATAGCCATATGAAATACTCTTTTGAAGTGTCTGAAAATATTCAGATGATTTCCTGCAGAGTTAACTATGCTGTATCTGAATAAAGGCCATTTCCTTCTGTCTATGAGAGGAAGGAAGGCACCAGGTTCTCACCAGTGGGCATAAATTTTCTCTGGCATCTCACACAAATCCATCCACCAGCACACTCAAGATTTAAGGTCATATCCAGAGAAGCCAAGCTGCCAACATTAGCCTGCCTTTGAAGAAAGGAAACCTTTTAATGACAAAAGCAGTCTTACAATGAAGGATAGAAAGAGGTGAGGTGAGTATTTCTTCATGGGTCAGCCATTGCCCTTTGCCTGGGGAATCCATTTCTGCTCCTATAAAACCACAGGAACGAACCTTCTGAGAGACAAATGCACTTGCATTTAATCACATACTACCAAGTGGGAGAGATTTTATTCCCTGGTAAACAGACTTACAAAACTGAACATTTTGGGATCTGTAATGCACAGTGGTCTTGGCCAAATGGTTTGTGGAAGATAAGTTCTGATGGTCCTCTGGCCTTTCAGATTTAGTGGGTACTGAAATAGAGGGATCTGATTAAAAATTTGGCCACAAACATCTTAAAATGGATTATTTGGGGAAGAAACTGGTGCTGGTGTATGTTCCTCTCTGCACGTATGAGTTTAGAATTTAGGACACCAAAGCACCTTATATAAAATACCTTCAATTGCCACATTGTTTTCAATGGTGATCTGTAATAGTTAAGAGGGAGATTTACTAGAAGGCCTTATCTTTTGTGCAGTTCTGTGGAGGAGTGGTTTATAATGCGCTGCAAGATCTAAAACCCAAAGGCAGGAGAAATTGCTTTCCCAAGGGCACAACTGTACTGAAGAAGCACTACGGTTTTAAATTTCCAGCCATAATTGCAATGCAGCTTTTAAGATCCCTTCTAAAGTCAGCAGCTGATTCAAATATGTCTATGAAGGTCCCGCTGCACTTGTTGTAATGTGGGCTTGATTTGCACAGCATCTGTTTTTTTTAGTTATATTTGAGAAAAATTGGCTTCCTTTTGTACAACACATGTGAATCCACCTTTCTTCAAAAAAAAAGACAAAAAATCTGAAATGTCTGCATGTCAGCTAGATCATTTTTGAAGGCTCTTTAAGCTCAAATTTCCATAATTGTTCTTAAATGGTCAATGTGGCATGATGGGAACGATTGACACCACTTTGGATTTTATATTAACATGACAGACTTCAATTTAGGAAAAAGTTTCTGAGCTAAGAGAAACTGCCATTTCGATGTGTATCAACTTTTACGAGACTGTAAAGTTGCGTAGCAAAGAGCTGGGGTTGCTGCAAGTGGACAGAGGTGCATGCTGTAGGCTTCCAGTGCAGATTTGAGAAAACGCTAGGTAAAAACTTTGGGAACTTTGAGAAAGAGGCAAAGCTGCAGCTACGTTCCCCCCAACTACTGTGCCGCCTGAAACTCCGCTGGCTTCAAACTTTCCAGGCTGAATAACACTTCACAGCCTATTCCAGCACACCTATTTTTTGTTTTTCTTGCCAAAGATGTCCCCGAAAGGACACCTGCGGTGTGGTTGCTGTGGGAAAGCAGGCTGAGATCGCTGAAAACGTTAGCACTACTGACTGCTTGGTGCTGTAACATTAAAACAAGGCTGTCGGTAACTCAGTCTCCGCTGCTAAATTGCACCTCCCGCCCGGGCCCTTACCTGAGCAGTATGACAGAGGCCCAGCTCACAGCCAGCGCTTACAGACCCTGCGGTGCGCACGGGGCCGACAGCCCATCCCGCGACCCGAACTCGGCAGGCCTTCGCGAGAAAGGAGAGCTCGGTGAGCCGCGTGGGGAGGACGGCGCGTTTCTTCTTTCCTGGCACACGGCCGCCGCTTATCCCGAGCCGTAACACCGGACCTGGCACACGGGCAGAGCGACTCTGGGACCCGATCGCCGCTCACTGCCCGCTCACCGCATAGCAGCGTGCAGCGCTGGTCTCACACGGGCTGCAGAGGATTTCCGCCCGGCCCAGAGTCGCACCGCACCGAGCTTCCCGCGTACCCCCCAACCCCCGGTCTCCCAGGAGCGGCGGTGCCACAGGGTCCCTCCGACAACGCACGGCCCGAGCCGCCTCTGCAAGGCCGCCCCGGGACCGCCCCATCCCCGCCCGGCCCCGCGCCGCCCGAGGGCCCCGCCGGCCCCGCGACCCCCCGCCAATCCCCGCAGCGCGCGGCCGCCGACGGGAGGCGGGCTGCGGGCCGGGGTCACCTGATCGCCGCGCGCCCCCTGCCCCCCCCCCCGCGGCCTCACTCTCTGCCGGCGCAGGTCCCGCGCAGCGCGGTTGAAAACGTCACGTGGGCGCACGCGCCGCCAGTCATAGAGGCGGGAGCGGTGGGGCAGAGCGGCGTCGTGTTGGCGCGCTCGCTGCGCCGCCATTTTGGTTGTGGGCAGGAGCCGTGGGGCAGCTGTGGCCAGCCACCAGTGTTCTGCGTCTTTGGGTTCCGCTTCTGTTTTTGCTGCAGTTATCCGGCTACTCTACGTTGCTTTTCTTCTGCTCTGCGACTTGTGTTTAGTGAAGTGGTTATAAAATCCCCTGAACAAACGTCAGATGTCTGTATCCAGTTCTAAGTCGTGGCTTTGCTGTGTGAGGCCATGCTGAGAACGAGGCTGGTGCTGGGCGGGCGGGTGCTCAGAGCTGCTGGCGGCACGGGGAAGCAGAAGGGCAGTTTTCAAGGAAAATGAAGTAATGTATGTAAAGCCCTTGGAAAGCAGCGTTCTTGAAGTGAATACGAACTGCTGCAGTGCTGTTGTCGGAACTAAGCTCTGTAGAGCAGGACTGCCCCAGCTAATGCATGGTAAGGATGGCACGTGAGGTTCTGCTGGCTTTTCACAGCACCCTTATTTGTGGGCAGGATTTTAGGATTCTTTGGTTCTGTGCACTTTCCTGGCCTTGCTTGGACTTGTAATACTGGTAATAAACACTGGAACAAATGTAGCTTCTAATAGCTCCCTAATGCAGAGGTGAACTCAGAGGACTTTTGGACCTAGAAATCAATAAAAGCTCCATAAGGGGCTCCTCACGTAAACACACAAAACACAGCCTTGTAGAGGGTCCAGGTGGAAGGGAGCAGCAGGGCAGGATAGTGTGCTCAGAGAGCCCTTCTCCTCAGCCGTGGGCTGCTGTAAGCCAGGCAGGTGAAGGTGCCATCTCGTTCTGTGATGGAGTTCATATTCGTTCACAAACACAATGGATAATGCATGTGTTTTTAATTGAGCTGGAGAAAAATTGTTCCTTCTGCAGTTCATTACTATCTCCTTGTTGTCTAATATACTTGAAATAAGTTGGTTTTGTGGTATTTTGGTGTGAGGGTGGACAATATATGTATTTGAGTAATTTTGACTGTTACATATGCTTCTCCTTGATACCTGAATTGAGATTACAACAAAGAATGTGTTCTATACACCTGTTGTTGCCCCCTGCTTTATGCAAACCTATTCCCTACAGTGGTGTTCTGTGTTCTTTGTCTAGTCTGGTTTTAAAAGGCTTTGCTGACAGAGCTTAATATGAAGAAAAGAGTTTATTTTGGGGGTGCATTTCTTGATACTGTGGCTTTAAAAAATATATTTTTAGTTAGTTAGCTATTTTTAGCTATTTTTAGTTAGTTCCATCATACATTTGTATGTGTCTTTGAGACTGTTGAAAATATTTTCTCTTCCCTTTGGTGGGCCAAGAGTATCAGTGTGTAGATTGAGCTTTGTCCACTACTTTTGTACTTACCAAACCAAACTAGGTTTTAATTATGATCTGTCTTCAGTCTTCTGCTCATGTTCACTTCTGCAATTTAGAATAAGTGTATTTTGAGAACAAATGTCGCTTCAAAAAAAAAAATGTGTTCAGCAATGAACGTTAATTCCCGCATCACTACATAAATTTAAAGAACCTTACGTGGGGAAAACCTCTGCACATCCCTTTGAAAGCGCAGACCTCAGCCCGACTTCTTGCTCCAACCAAAGGAGACTCCAACTCTCCATTCCACTTTTACAGGCACGCCGAGGCACTGCCGTTTTCCTTAAGCAAGAATGGGATCCTGAAGCCCTCTGGTGGATGTGCAGCAGAAGGCAGACAGCTGAGGGGAGAGTAAGTAAACTTCGAAAATGCAATTGCCATTTTCTCACATTTACTTCTCAGTTGATAACAAATGTGCTTAATTTGAAATCCAAGAGATGTTTATTTCTGCCACTCAATTTCAGAGTCTCACAGGTGAATAAACCTGTAAACTCTTCAAAAGGGCTGACAACAGCAGGACTAGGGGAAATGGATCCAAGTTGAAGGAGGGAAGATTTAGGTTGGATGTTAGGGGGAAGTTCTATACAAGGAGAGTGGTTAGGCCCTGGAACGGGCTGCCCGGGGAGGTTGTGGATGCCCCGTCCTTGGATGTGTTTAAGGCCAGGTTGGACGGGGTCCTGGGCAACCTGATCTGAATGTGTGTGTTTGGTGGCCCTGCTAGGCAGGGGGGTTGGAACTACATGATCCTTGAGGTCCCTTCCAACCCGGGTGATTCTGTGATTCTGTGAATAAGCCTGCATTTCAAGGTTACAATTATATTTATTAGAGCCTTTTTGTCTTTATTCTTCATTGGTAGCAGGAAAGTTCTATGTAAATATATATATATATATACACACACACACAACATATATATATATATGCATACATTTTGTTGTTACCCTTGTCTCCTCTTACTGCGACATGTACATTTTTGCAATTACGAAGGTCTTGTAACAGACAATTCTGAGGTTGTCTGCGACAAACGAATCTGTTTCATTCACAGGTGTAAAAACCTTTAAGTGACAGAAATGGGTGATTTATCTAAAAATAAAGAGCGCAGTAAGTGAATAATAAGTAAATGAATAATTTGTCTGTCATCTTTCTGTCAGAGAACTCATTTGTGCTTCACATATTTTACATACAGTAGGCTGGAGCACAGAAAGATGACATTTATTTCCAAAAATCTCAGTATGTGTCTGCAACAGAGCTGCAAAGAGGAGACAAGAATTTAGGTTCCCTGACTCATCTTGCACCAACAAGTGTGCTACTTTGGAGCGTTTTGAGGATGTGAAAAAACAAAGTCTTTTTTAAATGTTTGGTTATAACACACTTAGGTCTGTAAAGGGATGAGGATGTGTGTCTGGAGCTGCTCCATTAATCTGACCAGTTTTAAAAGACTGTTAAAAAGATGAAACTAAAAAGCCCTAAAAAGAGAT